TGAACGTGCGTGCAGCGTGCCGGTTAGAGCGGTTCTCGTTCTCGAGTCAAGAACTGGTTGCATCGGTTTTCGGAACCGAGAATCGTTTCTTTCGGACATGTCCGATTTGAGAACCGATGAGCTGATGATACGCGATTCAGCGTGAAGCTACCAAACAGATTGCCTACTATGACTGACACAGCACGTCTGAACCGAACTGTTTCTTTTGGACAACCGATTCTGTGCTAATGTTATGAACGCGGGTAAACCGAATACTTGAATGAAGGGCAATCTGGCGAAACATAAATTTACTTAATTACAAATAAACTGTAATGGATTATACATAGTAAGTGGAGCATAGTTTCTGCGCTGATGAAGACTAATTTATTGACGTCATAACTGTAAAACATCCTAGTTTCCAGATCACTGCCTGTATATGTGTTGATGCTTTAGATACAAAAATCCAAATTGTAAGAAACGTATCAGATTATAATGATGTTTTAATTGACTGATGTTATGATTACTGACTTTATATTTGAATGTGTTAAACCCGCGATAGACTTGACACCATTACGTCATCACCAGTGATGTCATTACGTCGAGCGTAAAAGAACCGGTGAACCGTTTTTTTCAACCGGTTTATTGAATCGAACTGTCCGAAAGAACCGGTTCGCGGAAAAGAACCGAACTTCCCATGACTACTCTTCTGTTCTTCGGCTGGTTCTTCCTGTATACGTTGATTGACAGATGTCTCGTCCAGTCAGCGGTGAGTAATCTCAAACCAATGGCGCTGTCTCAAACGGTTTGTCTGATTTGTCGTTGTGTTTTCTGACTTGTTCATTTGTTTTCGGATTTGTCGTTGTGTTTTCTGAATTGTTATTTTGTTTTCGAATTTGTCATTGTGTTTTCTGACTTGTTATAATGTTTTCTGAATTGTTGTTGTTGTGTGTTCTGAATTGTTATTTTGTTTTTTAGACTTGCATTTGCGTTTGTAATTTGTTATTTTGTTTTCAGAATTGTGATTTGTTTTGCACTTCTCGGTCACCATATTGTGCATGACAACATTAATGACACGTTTTTTTGTGTGATTTGCGTCCTTTGACGCTTGAAAGATTCCCTGTTCATTGTAATTGCGTGGAAAACATCTTCAGATCTTCAGGAAGAAGCTCATAATGGTTTGGATGACATGAGGGTGAGTAAATGATGACTCGGTTATGATTAGACCTTTTGTTGCATGCTGTAATTATAGCCCATGAAAAACTTCGACAAAAGGTTTACAGTGAATTTAATATTTCAAAGTACAGACAGAAATGACTGGAAATGAATAGACTATCCAAGCATTTCTTAACTGCACCCACTATATAAACACTCTTTACACCAAAATGATAGGTAACACTTAATAATAAATTATATAATATCATCATAAAGCTTAATGCTTACAGTTGATTAGTTATTAATGGAATTAAAGTGTGATGCTATAAAGGTCCATTAACTATTTATATGTTTAGCATGATGATGTTTGTAAATGACTTATTAATGAAAGATATATAATGTGTTACTAGGTTACATCACAGTGGTTTTGTGTTGCGGGTGGTGAAACAATTATCCTTTACATTACCAGCCACTGATTCATGCTCTCATACACGCTTTAATGAGCACAGTCTACGCCTATCTGAAACGCAGTGACCAATAGGAGCGCTGCTGGGCGTGGTCGTGAAACGTGTTGGCCAATAGGAATATCGAAGGGCGGAGCTGAACTCTAAACGCTGTCAAAGAATTTCCTCATGGATTTGCGGTATTGGAGTTCTCATGTTTTGAGTTGTGGGAATGTGTTTAATTTGGATATTGTGGTCGACAGCGCGGTGATGTATGAACGACTTTTCCTTATAACTTTTTTTTAATTCTTCGCTGACATCACCGGGATTAGCACATTCCCGTGTGATCATCGCAACTTCATTTCTGCTCATTTATTATTTCTCAGTTATGATGAATATGTAAACAGTCCCGCGGTAGATTTACCCAGACCGGGGCTCACTGACAAGGATGCTTTTGGTTGGACACTGATTCATTTTGATGAAAGGACACTTGTGGATTCTTCAGGGAGGTAAACAGGTTTTATTTCAGCATGTCCCGGAGGAAACAAGCGAAGCCACAGTATGTTCTCATCGGTAAGTTCTGTATCACTTTCTGAACTGGCATGCCGAGGGCGTTTAAAAAAAAAAAAGGAAGAGGTAGAGGTAGGGAATGAGTACAATAAAAAAAATTTAAGCACGGTTTTTAATACAAAGCAACTACATTTGTCTCTTGCAACTGTCAGGCATAATGAGATCTGTAGGATGTGATCTTTAATATAGCCTATAATACATCACTTCATTAACTGGTGTTGAATTCAAAGAGCATCATTGTGACAACCTTAACCCCTAATACCAGGGAAAGTTATGGTTGTAGGAAAAGTTGTAACAAAATGAGAAAACAAGAAAAATTATGTTTGCATTGAAACAGCTTTAATGTGAAATTTAAAAAAATATAACACACGCTCTTTACAAATGTTCAAACCTAGAAACATATTAAAAATCTTTACGTTTTTAATATCATACTAGTCCATCTTGAGTTGTGTCCCACATTTTTAACACAATCTTGTTAATGCATGAATTTCAGCATATTACAAAAATGTAACATTCCATACGAATTGTGACACCCAGAAAGTAACATAATTTGAATTGTACCTGCATGGCGGGAAAGCAAGTAAGTTCTCATTCTGAAATTCCTACATTTTTAAATTGTTGCTTGACTGACTTTGTCAAATTCAGCCATTTAACTCTATTACCAAAGTTATTGGAAATGGTCACATAATCTTTTATTTTTCTTGAATTAATGGGAAATAAAAATGTATCTACATCAATAAACTAACATTTTGTCACAAACTAGCTAGTCCCTACAGTTTAATTTAGGCTAGTTTAATCTGCAACTCTGTTGCTAACAACCCTGTTATGCATTAATTTTCATAATACATTTATTGTTGTAAATAGTATAGAAAAATAGATATTATTATTGTACCCTATTAATAGATAGTTCCTGCTGTAAATCTCTACGTGATATAGTTGATTAAATAACCCTTAAAATCAAACCTTCTTTTATGATATCAGCTTCTCAAAGTTTTGCTGGGGCCTGCTTGTCTTTCATTTCATTAAAAAAAAGTTGTATCGTTAAAATCTAAAACAAAACCTCCTAATCAATCCACATATGCATTTACAATGTTAAGGCTATATCCTAAATATGCACTTGAAACAAAGCTGTTCTATTTACATAATTTTAAATCACTATGAAAATGCCATGAAGTTATTGTAAAATGTAAACAGATTTTTGCTAAATAATCATATGCAAATAATTATTACTTGCTTACTAGGAAATAATTTTATAATAATAGTTTTATTTTCCCACCATGTCATGAATTGTGTTACATCTGAGATACAGGCTACTACTGTGCTTTAAGTTTACAATGAGTTGCTATCAAATATGATCTAATATAAAAATTTTAATCTTTTTTCTTTCTTGAAATTCAGATCATACAATGGAGAATGACCCCACTCCAACCTGCAATGTCCATATTTGTGAACAATGCTGTGCTGAATTTTCCAGTATAACAGACTTATACCAACATCAGAAAGACTGTTTGAAAGTTCTAATAGTAAGTGAAAACGAAAGCCTAGATTCTCCACCTTCTGGCCTAACAATTAATTCACCATTCTTCAACACTGAGGAGCATTTGGATGGAGTGACAAGTAATGACACTAAAGAGGAACTTTGTGACTTTTCTATTGATGGAACATCAGTGGAAGTTGATGAATCCTTACATACATTTGAAAACAACAGTCATGACACGGCCAAAAAGTCTTATTTACATAATAATAATGAAAACAGTGATAATGCTGATGGCTTTAGCTTAGCATGCCCAGCTTTACTACCCCAAGAGAATACCTTACTTGAGTTATGTAAATCATCAGCCATTAACAGCAATGTCTTCATTGAGAACCTAGAAAACACCAAAGTTGCTGTTGCTCAGTTCTCACTCGAAACTAGTTTAAATCCAAAGACAAGTTTCAGAAATGCTAGCAACAGCAAAATGGCCGTTTCTGGTTTGATTGAGCAGCTGTTAGCACTGCAGCAACAGCAGGTGCAGCAGCTAAAACTAATTGAAGAAATTCAACATCAAATAATGCTATTAGCAGCCCAAAATTCTGATACACCTGTGGCCAAAAACACCTATGGTGGTCTGTCTCAAACCAGTTCACTGATAAAACTTAGCTCACACCTCTCTGAACAACAGACAGCAGCTGCGGGGCTTGTAGAAAACCTAGCTACTACTGCTAAACAGTCTAAACATGTTATTTCGCAAAACGCCCAAGATGGCTTAAAGGGTGATAAAGGAAACTCCCAATTGACTGATGAAAACAGAGGCAACCCTTTGCCATCAAATGTTGGTAGTGATCTGTGTAGCAATCAGTCTTTGCATGGTAACGCACTCAGTGATACAGTTGATGGCACAGCTCATTTAAAATCGCCTTCACAATCTCCTGCTTCAATTACAGGTGCCATTCTAAACAAACTTGAATTACCCCATAAACCAAACAGCATTAATATTTCTGCGAACTCCTTGCCTAGTTTTGGGGCAATTGTGGAGGACCTGAATGCTTTGACTGCCCTAGCCCAACATAGGAAAGCCAAACCCCTCACTGTGAGTTTATGTGAACACAAGAGACCAGCTGAAGATTGTACATTCAAGCACAAATGCAGGTTCTGTGCTAAAGTATTTGGAAGTGATAGTGCTTTGCAAATACACCTGCGTTCTCACACTGGAGAGCGACCCTACAAATGTAACATATGTGGAAATCGATTTTCCACCCGTGGAAATCTTAAGGTCCATTTCCATCGTCACAAGGAGAAGTATCCTAACATACTAATGAATCCTTATCCAGTTCCAGAGCATTTAGATAAGGTCCCAACCAGCACAGGTATTCCATATGGCATGTCTCTGCCTCCTGAGAAGCCTGCTCTCAACTGGTTGGATAGTAAACCTTTAGTGGGTAACTCACTTGGCTTTAGGCTTCCATCATCTTTGCCAAGTCTTCTACCCATCATTAAAAAAGAGGAGGAAGGGGTAACAGTAACTAAACCTTATAGACCTGTTGTCAGTGAGGTGTGTGAGAGAAGTAATGGGCATCAAGAGGGATTTGGTTGTAGCCCTCCTCTAATTTCAAATGAGAAATTTCAAGAGGTTACACAACCCTTGAGTGTTGCTAACTTACTAAGCTCCTCAGGGAAAGGTTCCAGAGATGACATTGCTATTAATACCTCGGTCAGTACAAGCTTAATAACTGAGTTAAAATCAGAGCAGCTTGAAACCAAATTTCTTTTTGGAAGTCTTCCAAATACTCCTGGAGCATCTGAGACTTCAAAGCTGGAGCAGTTAGTAGAGAACATTGACAAGAAGTCGTCTGACCCAAATGAGTGTGGAATCTGCCACCGGGTTCTTAGCTGTCAAAGTGCCCTTAAAATGCATTACCGCACACATACTGGAGAAAGGCCATTCAAATGCAGAGTGTGTGGACGGGCTTTTACAACCAAGGGCAATCTCAAGACACACTATAGCATTCATTGTTCCATGCCACCTCTTAGAATACAGCATTCTTGCCCCATATGTCAAGACAAGTTTACAAATGCAATGGTTCTACAGCAGCATATCCACATGCATATGGGTGGTCACATTCCTAATGTCCCATTGCATGATAGCTGTGCAGAACCCATGGATCAGGATGCTGAATTTGTAGAAGGTAGGACCTTGGAAGAGGATACCTTGCCCAGTGAGAACATGGACATAATGGAAGGTGCATCCTATACAAAATACCCAGACTCTTTACCGGACAGTCTATGTTCTTCACCTGCTTCTTCTGAGCTCACCAGAGCAACTGGGTCAGAGAGTCAGATTGCAGTTTCGAATGTGGAGAATTTGTCAAAGATCAATAAGTTGACTATGGGGAATGGATCAGTGGATGGAGATTGCTTAACCCATAGATCATCTTCACTAGATAGTGACCATGAGAGTTTAAGGAGAAGGATTTCGGCCAACACTGAGATGACACCCTACTGGAACCCATCCTCCCCCAATGGCTCTGCTTATGAAAGGCAAGGATACACTACAACTGACAGAAACCTGAAATCTGCTGAATCAAACAGCTCAAGCCTACAACCCAATCTTATAGTGTCTAGGTTACTAGATGGAGATATACCAAAAGATAGCTTGACCATGATTTTTCCCTTTAATGAGCAGGGATCCCTGAAAAGCAATGTTTGTGATATCTGCAACAAGACATTTGCCTGTCAAAGTGCTTTGGATATTCATTATCGAAGTCACACCAAAGAGCGCCCATTCATCTGCACTGCATGCAACAGAGGGTTCTCAACCAAAGGTAACCTTAAACAGCACATGCTTACCCACCAGATGCACGATTCACAGTTGTTTGAGCCAGCAAATCAGATCCTGATTTTTTCACCAAACCAGTTTCTACCCTCAGTGGAACCAATCATTCCCTCAAAAAGAATTGAACACAATGGGCTCACCAAAAAAGATCCTAAAGAGTCACCCACAGGTATAGTTAGCTCAGCAGCTTCCACATTACCTGTACTCTCTACACCAGCATTAACAGCAACACCACTTCGGCGAACAGCTAAACAGCACTTCTGCCACACTTGTGGAAAGACCTTCTCTTCTTCAAGTGCACTGCAAATTCATGAAAGAACCCACACTGGTGAGAAACCATTCTCCTGCAACATATGTGGACGTGCATTTACCACTAAAGGAAATTTGAAGGTACACCAGTTAAAGGTTGTTAAAGGTGTTCCGTCACCCATTGCCAATGTGTATTTTGTTACTTAGTATAGAATCATTTGTATCATCCCAGATACCTTATGACCAACTAACTACTTGATTTTTCATTCTGTTTTCCATCTAGGTTCATATGGGAACTCACATGTGGAGCAGTTCTCCGGCCAGACGGGGTCGCAGACTTTCTGTTGATGATCCATTCCTTAGATCCAATTCCGAGCGATTCCAGGACTCTTCCCCAAAAGATGTTGTGGGTAAAGTGCGTAATGGAAATTCCTTAGGCCTCTGGAGCCAGTATACCTCTTTCACTAATGGTTTTGGTGTGAGGATTAATGAAATACCTGTAATTCAAAATGGTGCCATACCTCACCTCCCGATTTCTGCTGGGCAACTGGAAAACATAGAAAAATTGCAATTCAACAGAGCTTTACCTTGGCTCGAGAGATTAAGCGAAAATGGTGCAACTTTTAATTTCCGGCAGTTGGTTGAAGACAATAAAACAACAGTGACAAATTGAATTTCGTCTTTTAAGATGCAAACCCATGCATTCAAATGTGATGCAATTTCATATGTGTGTTCTTTCATTAGGATTTTTGTACAAGCATACCCTATTTAGTGACATTAATACAAATTCTGCTGTTGGTTAATTTTCCCTAGTTAGAGCAGATCTTCACAACTGAAGTAGTGTTGATTGTATTGTATAAATTTGATGTTTTTTGTTGTTTGGTGAGGAACATTATAAGTATTGCTAATATGCAGCTATGACCGTTTATTTTACAATTATTAATTTTTTTTAAGATGTTGTGGGTAAAGTGCGTAATGGAAATTCCTTAGGCCTCTGGAGCCAGTATACCTCTTTCACTAATGGTTTTGGTGTGAGGATTAATGAAATACCTGTAATTCAAAATGGTGCCATACCTCACCTCCCGATTTCTGCTGGGCAACTGGAAAACATAGAAAAATTGCAATTCAACAGAGCTTTACCTTGGCTCGAGAGATTAAGCGAAAATGGTGCAACTTTTAATTTCCGGCAGTTGGTTGAAGACAATAAAACAACAGTGACAAATTGAATTTCGTCTTTTAAGATGCAAACCCATGCATTCAAATGTGATGCAATTTCATATGTGTGTTCTTTCATTAGGATTTTTGTACAAGCATACCCTATTTAGTGACATTAATACAAATTCTGCTGTTGGTTAATTTTCCCTAGTTAGAGCAGATCTTCACAACTGAAGTAGTGTTGATTGTATTGTATAAATTTTATGTTTTTTGTTGTTTGGTGAGGAACATTATAAGTATTGCTAATATGCAGCTATGACCGTTTATTTTACAATTATTAATTTTTTTTATAATTGAAAGTATTCATCCAGCGCATTTGCTAAACTCTTGGTTGTAATAGATTGTGTGATGAGGTACATTTGTATTATTTAATGGAGAAATGAATCCCTATTCCTAAATAGTTCCCAAAAACTATTTACCAATCAGTGTTTCACATTAATTGATTGATTGATACTTTATTGATCCTTTACATGAAATTAAAATAATTTGTGCTTGAATTGTGTTTTTGTACACGTACAGTATTTCGATTATAAATGTAAACACTAAACCATACTAAAACTATTTATTTTTATTTTTTGCCATTGTTACTGTTACATTGGAGGAACTATTATGTATGACATTATTTCGTGTCTTGTATATTATGGCAACTGCATAAGGTCTCAAAGTAATTTTCCCATTTTAACACCCACTGCATTTGGCTTACACAAATTATAAATTTCATTTCCCATTTGATTAAAAGGGGTGTGCTGTTGTAATTTTACTTAAAGTTGTACCATATGAGTGTGTATACCTTCTAGCACCGGTCTCCTCTTTCAGTGATTTACCTTTAACAAAGAATTGATTCTTTCCCTACTTCCACACAAGCAGAATTCATGCCCTTTCTCTACTGATAAAAATCTAGGTCACCTTGTCCTCTGCATTTACATTTCAATAAACTTACCAATAATAACACATTGTGTTAATACGCAATGATCTTTGCCAATGGAATATGATACTTCTACAACCAAACAGAATAATAGAGGCCATTCATCAAGCAGGTACGACTCATCAGCTCTACCTCATGTCTGTAAACCACACGGACAGATGGTCAGCAATGGTTTTAGCGTTTGTTGTCTGGACTCCTGCTATGTCTGTTTGATAGCTGATAAAATGTGCTTTTAGCAAATTGTGAATGCTGTGGTTATTATTACTGTGATTATTGTTGCATGGCTAAAGTGCTATGATATGGCTACTTTTATAATTGTATTTTCCATATCTGCAGATCAGAGGTAGCTTAGCCCTACTGAGTCTTGGTTACTCCAAATATTTTTTTCCTTATTTTATCCAATAGTTGTAACAAGAAACAAAATAGGACATTTAAACAGGTGGTCCATTGTGTGACTGGAGTATCCCAGCAAGTTCTATATCCTCATAGTGATCCATCCAGCAGAGTTGTTTAGTATAACAAAAAAACATCTGACACTTTTGAGGTCTGTTGAGTAATATGTCCATTGAGTGTCACCACAATAATGCTACATACCAAATCCCTCGGTGAATAAGATCTGCCCTCTTAACTATCAAAGTCCATTAAACACTCTTCCCAGAGCAGAGACCAGCTGACGGGAACCCAACACCATCCCGCCTGCCACCATTAGCATTATAAAATGAGCAATCAGCTAGAATGAAGCTCAAGGGAGTGCAGAGCTCTTCAGATACATATCTGATTCAAACAGATGGGAGGCACTGGAGGTGTAAGCAGGTGGATAAAGACCTGACGGATGACTTGGGTGAAGATATAGGGTTCAGTTGATGTTTTACATCCCCAGATACACGGTGCTGCCAAAATAGTAGCTTGACTTTTTCCTAAAATAAAAATTAAAATGACAATATGAAGTTATTTCATATAAAGTATGAACCATTTCTCGGCTGAAGTTCATTTTATCAGTAAATACTATTAGGGTGAAACTCACAAAACTTGTCAAGAACATGTCCAGGTCATATTTCACCCCAAAATCAAAAGAAAGTATAAGACATTATATGTTGCATAAAGAAAATAGGAAGTGTCACCACAATAATGCTACATACCAAATCCCTCGGTGAATAAGATCTGCCCTCTTAACTATCAAAGTCCATTAAACACTCTTCCCAGAGCAGAGACCAGCTGACGGGAACCCAACACCATCCCGCCTGCCACCATTAGCATTATAAAATGAGCAATCAGCTAGAATGAAGCTCAAGGGAGTGCAGAGCTCTTCAGATACATATCTGATTCAAACAGATGGGAGGCACTGGAGGTGTAAGCAGGTGGATAAAGACCTGACGGATGACTTGGGTGAAGATATAGGGTTCAGTTGATGTTTTACATCCCCAGATACACGGTGCTGCCAAAATAGTAGCTTGACTTTTTCCTAAAATAAAAATTAAAACGACAATATGAAGTTATTTCATATAAAGTATGAACCATTTCTCGGCTGAAGTTCATTTTATCAGTAAATACTATTAGGGTGAAACTCACAAAACTTGTCAAGAACATGTTCAGGTCATATTTCACCCCAAAATCAAAAGAAAGTATAAGACATTATATGTTGCATAAAGAAAATAGGACCATTATTTTTCTGTGTTGTGTTATTTTAAAGAAAATAAATATTACTACAGAAATTGTCATTCTTATTACTCTAATGCAAAATAATAACTGTATCTATTAAGTAATAAGTATTTATACATCACAGTAGTATTTGTTGTACTGCCTTTAATTTGAAATATAGTTACAAAAATTCTATATAACAATAATGAAAATCAAACGAAAGAAAATCATCGAGATTAATAAAAATTAAAGGTCCCCTGAAATGCTTAGAAACACGCAGCGTAACTATGTGTTGACGTCATTTTAACTGAAACAGAAAGATAGGGCAGCACATACAAAGCGCCCCCGCCCCTTTTTAAAATAGCCAATAGCATTCATTTATATCACAGCTTGGGTTAGAGCCGTTCAGAGCCGTTGAGCTCCGTAAAGCCGCATTTGACAGGGTATGCCAGCCACAATCTCATCCATATTGCTGTAAAATATAGCATTCTGTGTAGAATTCAAATAGTTCCGATACATTTTGTGGTCTGCGCCGACTCGCGCATGTGATCCGCTCCGTGCTATCGTGTCTCTGGACCGCAGCAGAGTGTGTGTGCAGAGGTTAGCGTGACAAATATGGAAAGCATATTTACACTGTTTGAATCGTTCCCTGTCCCCTATATAGTGCACTACGTGCCATTCACTGTACAAGAAATACTACACTGTGGACAAGTGACCGATTTCAGTCACGGCTTCAGCGTCTATTTTATAGTGTAGGGGGCGGGCGCTTCGGATTCTAGAGAGCATTTGATTGGACAGAAAGTTTGATGAGAAGCTGAAGTTACGATGCGACGTCAAAAAAATCGTTGAGCCATTTTGGCGGAAGTGACGAACTGCAAGCTTTGAATGCTTATATCTTCTAAATGCGAATTGTGTCACTGTTTTGGAGCACACTGCCTTATAGATAACCTTAAGACTAACATATTGACACTAGCACCCAAAAAACTTTCATTTTGATTTCATGGGGACTTTAAGAAAAATATGAATTAAAAATGAATGTGTTAGAGACAATTTTATGTTAAACATGATTTGAGAATGTTACAAAAATCTTAATGATTCTAAAAATAGATTATCCTTTCATTATGCAAAATATAATTTATTATTTATTTTCATTTTTAAAAAGTGTAGCATGAAAGCACTAAACTCGTTTACATTTATGTTTACTCAAACAACATGTCAAAGGGACTGTATTGTGTTGTGACAGCAATATTAAATATTACAAGAATTTCACACAGACATTAGATTTAAAAATGTTAGTTCTTATTGAACCATTCCATTCTTATGTAATTCAATCTTCCTGTTTTGCTGAAATGGGACGCAAAATATGTGTAACCCTTTTCCATGTTTTAAAGGAAGGACAGTGACATGAAAAACAGAGAATGATACAACTGTCCACAGGAACTCCTCACAGAGGAACAAAGCAGTGCTTTTCCAATCATCACATATTTCTGTTCAAAACTGCTGACATCAACGACTGTTTACAATGCAAAGAAAGAATTTCCTGGGTAAGCATTTTGCCTGTGATCATCACACTTTTGTTGGCCTGACAATGGAAATATTCAATAACAGAGCAACGGCCAACTCTCCAGCAGGGCTTAAACGTATCCAGCCCAAACCCGACTATTGATAACACTGTGATTATGGCATTATGTGAGGCATCCGTACGGCTCAGATCATATCTGATCATAAATGCTGTGTGGACTCTTTGATGACCATGGGGTCAGTCAGTGCTGCTGTATGACAGAATAACACGCACAGGACAGCTGAGTTTGCCATTTTTGTGATTGTGACACACACAGGGGATCGTATCCCAAATATGGTAATACTATGGTATAATAGCTATGCTGACTCTTTGATTGATTTTAATTATCATTTAGCTCTTTTCAAAAACTACAGCTATATTATTTTCATTAAATAATTGTATGTTAATGACATGTAGTTGGAGTGAATTATTCAGTAGCTATTAGAGCGCTTTCATTATTACTCTGTGCAGTTCAATATTTCCCAATTCAGCTTTAGCCTTTTAAAAACTTTTAGAGTCAAACATGAAATTTCAATATTTGCTTGGCTTTTACTTAGTGATCATGAGTGA